GTATGGGGGTGTGTATGGATTTGTATGGATGTATGGGGGTGTGGGGGTGTGTATGGATGTATGGGGGTGTGTATGGATTTGTATGGATGTATGGGGGTGTGGGGATGTGTATGGATGTATGGGGGTGTGTAAATGAGCAGAGCTGAATGTAAATCTGCTCTGTCATGAGGGAGGCAGTGCTGCTGCTGCTGCTGCAGCACAACGGTTTTCCTTTCTTTTTCACCCACCCTGTGTTGCATGGGGACAGAGGAAAGTGCTGATTCAGGTCCCTGAGCCTCACACCCCCATACATACTGTGTGTGTGTATATGTGCTGTACATAAAATGAGCTGCATGACCAGCAACAGAGAGGCAGAAACACACAGTATGACGAGACAAACCATCTTATCAGAACCCTGAAATGCCACCAACCCAACTGAAACCCACTAAAACAGTGACTTAGAATTTATTCTGGTGTGTACACGCCAGCAGCCAGTCGCCTCACAGCAACTGTCAACACCTTTCATTTGTTTTCATGCTCAGGGTGGTGCTGGTTATGTTAGCAGACCTCAAACACTTGGTTCAAGGATGAAAAGATCATCCATCCATCCATCCATCCATCCATCCATCCATCCATCTCTACACCTTAATCCTCACCAGGGTCATGGGGGGCGGAGTCTATCCCAGCTGACTCAGGGTGAAGGCAGGTTCACCTGGACAGGTAACCAGTCTATCACAGGGCTACTCACCAGATGTCTAAACAAAACAAAAGATCAAAAGATCCTGCTCAGATTTACAGCTAAACCCGGCTTCCTGCCTGGTCCAACTAAGCCGCTCATGCTGTGACCCTGTTCCTCTCTACGTATGGGATCTAGAGTCTGCTGATGGGCCTTAGCCTGGATGGCTCACACACTCAGGGAGAGAGGAGAACTTCTGTCTTTAGAATATAACCAAGGGTGAAGCAACACAAAGGTCCAAGTGAGCTCAGACCCAGTACCTGGGCAGGGAGCAGAACTGAGGGTTTCTGTTCTTGTAACACATGTATTTGCATATTCATGTTGTGTCCATGGAGATAAGGGTCTGATGTTCTCTGTTGTTGGCTTGTTGACCTGCAGCATGTGTCCTCAGTTAGCTCTGCATCAGTTCACATGTCTCTAGTAGCTACAGGATCCAGAGTTTCTAGGGTTAAACAGCTTCTCTAGATGTGCATGTGTTTACATTCACATATTCATCATGGTGGCCTTTCTTACTTCTGCATATCTGAATTTCCTGCCCCAGCCTAGTTCTGCAAGTCTAATGAATCAGCCACAGCCAGGACAGACCTTAGAGGCCTTGTGAGGCTTCTCAGTGGAACTGCTGCCGGTTGTCCGACCAGCTTTGCGTGTTGTATAACAAGCTCAGCGTTCTTACACGAAATTAAAAAGGTGCTCCGACTGAGAGGAGTCGAAGAGCTTATCTCAACCCTGTGAGATCCCCTGGGGTTAAAACAGGTGTGGGTATTAAAACAAAAGGGATCTCTACAGGCCGTACAGCATATCCGACAGAAAATTTGATGGCTTTTGCATAAATGCGTTGTCAAAGTGGGTTTGCCAGAAACTGATGGCTGTTTGCAGGATGGAGTGCTGCTTCCTAAAGCTCTGTCGTCTGGTGGGAACACGTCTGTAGCTGCTTTTGTTTTGGTAAAACAGAAATAATCTCTTTTGAAGTTGTCCTAATGCCTCTGCACTCGTGTATCTGCTCTGGGCCTCACATTACAACCACTCCAGTCCCAGAAACCGGTTCAAAGTGCCATAAAGCACCAATTCAGCTCATAAAAAGCAGTTTTCTACTTGCCTAAAGATAACTGCAGCTCCTACATTGTGACTGAAATGTTAATGATGCGTCAGAATGAAGCGCCTTGTGCTCCAACTGTCAGCAGATAACATTTAGATTTCCCGTAACAGAAGCTATGTGGTGTGCAGATCCGTCTGTTCTCTGTTAGATGGTTCTGATCCTGCATCCATGCTGCTACACACTGGGACGTCTTTTATCTTCTCTGTGCGACTATCTTTAGACCTGAAGCACTTTGTTGGTACCAAAATAACAACACGTTTGGGTTTGTTTCTAAAACAGTAATGTGGAACAGGAACTGGAGCAGGTACTGGTTCATGTGTCAGTAAGACGTGATGATGGGGTCGTCGGTGCATCGTCATTGCAGATCGTACTGCAGTGATATTTCTCTTGAAGAGCTGCGCGCCCTTCAAGGATCAACCATGAATCGATGAGATCTTGGGAGGAGCAGCACGCCCTCACCGGCGTGTCAGGTTGAGTGGACCGAGGCCGGGCCAGCAGGAGGTGGACTGGCTGCTGGGAAGATGTCCACACTGCGGGCTGTCATGTTGTATATTTCATGTTCTGTCTGAATCCCTGGAACTACTGACACAACAATAGTCAGGTGAGATGCAGCGAGTCACTCAGCATGAGTCTGCTCCATCAGGTCAACATGATAACTTCACAGTGTTTGAGCAGAAGAACTCGCCTAATGTTCTGACTCCAAAAGCATTGAAACATGACGCAGACATCAGTTTATCCAAACAGACAACCACAGAACTGTGGAAAGGTTGCTGTACTTGAACAAGAACAGACAACAAAGCTGCTCCGTACATGCCGTCAGCATCGATGCTCGGACAGCAGATTGCTTCATGTCACACTTTTAAACTCAGTTTTGGTCTCATGCTTGTAAATTGTCTTTTATTGAGCAGATGTTGAAGGGAGGTTTTATTTAGATGTGTCAGAAGTGACAGCAGTGCTCTGTTTGTTTCAGTGTGAAACTTCTTCTTTGTAAAATCCATGAATGTGATCAACAGGACCGAGACATAGTGATCGTCACTGTGGCCAGAATGATTAATTCTAGTCAGGGTCTATGGAAATATTCCAGCTACAGAAAAGATGGTGCTGACCAAAGACAGGTGCTTTGTCTGCAGTAGTCACCACTACGCGAGGCTACAGGACTAGTTTGTTGATCTACATGTGGCGCTGTATGAGGAGTGGAAGGTCACATGTGAAAGGCTCCAAACAGGTCGTATTCAAGTCATCTGGTCAACAAATCAGATATTTTTTCAGCAATATATATTGAAGAAAAACCAAATAGTGCAGTGTCTATTTCCCCCAGTGTTTGTTTAGTTATGTTCAAATACGTCATACCATCAGGAGGAGGCTCTTTGCTAGAAGAACAACCAGTTCCTGCAGTTAGAAGAACTGAAGTCCTCCCAGGTGACAAACAGACCTGATGTTGACCTTCTCCAACTCTTTCTCTTGCTCTCCGACCTGTAGGTGGTGACAGCCATCGTGGAATCGGGGAAGAACATGTCAGCAGAGCAGAAGAAGACGGATCGCTGTCCTCTGCTCTATGAATGGCACAAGAAGCAGTACATCGGCGCCGCCCACGGTCTGGCTGGTATCTACTGCATGCTCATGCAGGTAGGACGGGGCCACCCGCTTGGTCACCAACATTTTAAAACCTTACATTACCTAATGTCGTCTGTTTTAGCTGATGTTTGGGAGGCTGCTGTCAGCAGCTGCTCATTCTTAGTTCCTGAAGCAGAATGGGCTGATATGTGGCCCACATGTGGGTCCAGCTGGTTCCCTCACTGTGACTGCAGTCAGGAATCAGACAGACCTGAAGCCTGAAATGAGATCCTAGTTAGAACCTGGCATTTAGTTTGAGGCTTGGTGTGTTTTTGGTCCATAAATAAAAGATGTGAATAAAATCCAGTTTTGGGCATTATTTAGACAGATGTGTAAATTCTTCTATGTATTTGTCTTATTTTATTGTTATTATCATTATTATTTACTTTATTTTCTTTTTTTTCTTTCTACAGTTATTTTACTTTATTATTTATTCTGTTGCTCATTCCCAGGGCGACACCAACATTCCTTGTATGTTGTGTACGTACTTGGCCATTAAAGCTGGTTCTGGTTCTGATTCTGTAACAGTTAAGCGCTCCATTGCTGACATGACTGGGCTAAAAAGCTGGCAGTGCAGTTTCAGCTGTACACTAACGAACACTATGTTTTCTTACACATACACTTTTATTGTAATTGACACCAAAGCAAACCAACCATGTTCTGAGAACTGCACGTCTGAACAAACCGCTCTGACGTGAACGGTTTTGATCACTAGGCCGGCCCAATCACACTGAGCCCAACATCCTGGACTAAATAAGTCTGCACAGATGTACAGGACAGATGTGCTGGTGCCTCCGAGTGGTGTCGACACAGCTGTACTGAGCGCTGAGTGGAGGAAGCATCATGAAAGTACATGTTCCCCACAGGATGCAGTGACGATGGAGATGCTGTGCCTGAGTAGGCCACAGTCTCCAAGATGTAGGTCCTTGGTGATGTGTTGGGAGAAGTCTACTAGATGTGTTTTAGCTGACACACACTGCATTAGGCCTTAAAACTCCACTGCATCACCAGATAAGTCAGGTCAGACTTGGAGGAGTCGAGGTTTGTCTGTATTGGAAACAGGAGGAGGAGGAGGAGGGCAGCCATTGGTTGTGTTCGTGTCCCAGGTGTGATATACCCCCGAGTTTCTGGGCTTTAGCTGCTTAAGGTGTACTGGAGGAATGAAGCTGTGACAGTCTGATCCTTGGTTCCACTGGGACTGAAGCCAACGACAAACTTTGCTTTAACAAACCAACCGTTTAGTCTGCATGCTTTTCTGTCCAATGAATCATGTTTCTCGTGGACTGCAGAGCTGATTATACAATGAATGAAGCATAAGTAGAACATTGCTTCAATACCTAAAACCTCAGTGGAATTTCTCATTAACCCTTTTGCATTAATGATAACCTGGTTCAGCCAGAGGTTTAACCCTTTCAAAGCTCTCTTTTATTTATGGTAGTTGTTTAAGATGTGCTTTTTCTTAATAAATACTTTGTGTTATCTTTGTCTGATATTTACATTCGTTTGATGATCTTAAACACTAAAGTGGGGAGAATATGCAGAAAGATAAGAATTTAAATACTTTCCACAGCAGCATCTCATCCTCATAGACCCTCGACCCTCTGTGGTGGTATTCAGCTTCATTTTCTGGTAAGGGAACCATCTGTTGATTAGTGGACTCCAGCCAGTACACGGTGCAGCTAGAACCGGCGTGCCAGTTTCTTAATGTTGGCTTAATGTGTGGTGTTGGGCTGAGGGCCAGTGGAGGAGCTGCTCCTCCTCCAGCAGACACCTCCTCACTGAAATCACTTGTTCTGTGAAGTGCTGTCAGACTGTGGCCTGAAAATCAGCATGAAGTAGATGTCAGTCTGCTTGTCTTTAGGGTTGATGCATCTGCAGGTGTTGTTGTCAACAGCTGGAAATCCCCAAAAGACACAAATCCATCCGGTGGTGGTCGCCATGTTGTTCATCTCTCAGCCACGCCGAGCATCAGAGAGCAAATGAAGTCAGAAGCAGATATGAAATAGTAGATGTTGTCTAATGTTGAATTTCATTGTTCTGCTTGGCATCCGTCTTGTAGTTTCAGATGCCTGTGACAGTGTGTGTGCTACTACAGTACAGGCTAATGTCTACGCTGGTGAATCAGATTTATGTTGGTGTTTAGGTCACTGAAATCAATCCCCAGAGTTTACTGAGCTGTGTCTCTGTTCTAGTTCACTGATGTTCTCATTAACACACCAGACTGCTGCTCGCTAGGAATGAATAATTCATCCCTACATCTGTCTGAGTGTGTGTGCTGCCTACATTTGGAGCAGTTAAAAGTCCGCTTTGTTTTCAAAGTGTGTGTCAGCCGGGTTTTATAAAATGCCAAAAAGGCAGAGAACATCGTACTTAAGGAGCATCCAGAGCAAATAACTTGTGGGCGTGTCCCGATCCGATCTCAGAGCTCAGGATTAGAGCCTGTCAGTGTGTGTTCTGATCAGTATCAGCTTCACGTGAGCCCAGTCCTCTGTCTACATGTTACAGGCAGAGCACAATCTGACACGGTTCTGTGCTGATAGGACTGTTTCGGTCCACCGACACATTTGGGCCATAAAGTCGGCTCTGGTGCTGGTGCCACTGGGATGTAGGAACACCTTCCTGTTCTGTCCAGTTTGTTTAGAACATGAGAGCTCTGGCCAGAGGCCATGAAGCATCACTGGAGTGTTGCTCATGGTGCCCATTGCTCTACATCCCTGAGTGACAGCAGTGTTAAAGAGTAAGAGGCTCCATCTGGTGGGGCAACCAGGTACTACATCTGATCTACAGTCTGTTTTCTGACATGCATATAGAGAGTCCAGATGTTTTGCCATCGTTCTGGCAGTGGAACATCAGTTCAAATACAGTGCAAATACAAGACAGAAGCGTCCCAGCATATGCTCTGTCTGATAGGAAAACGTGTCCCAGACACTACAGATAGTTCCAATTGAAATGTACTGGTTTGAAGTTCGTGCTGGGGAACGTGAGAAAGTCGGCAAATCGTGTCCCAGGACACAAAACAATAGATTACATTTCGTGACTATTTTACGAATTGCCGTGAGACTGGGTTGGTCTCAACTGACCATTTGTCTAAAACACACGATTTAACTTTGAAAGAGCTGTGAAGCCTGCCCTTATCTTTCTAGCTCCCTATTTTTTGGTTTTTACTCTATTTATTACATTTTTCATGGAAACAACACCACCAGTGTCTCTGTGGATGCTCTGAATGTGAATGTGTGACATTCTTCCTGCTGGATATGACACCTTCCTCCTCTCTACGATGCTCGGCTTCTCACTCAGCCTCCTGCTCTCGTCATTCAGAACAACCACTAACACGCTTTGGTTTCCAACGGGGGCGACAAGCAGTGGAGTACAGTCACTATGAGCTGTAAAACTTCTACGAGTTGTATTCTCCTCCTCCCCAGCGTTGCCACATCAGGACAGAGAGAGGTGAACAGTAGGAATGACATGAAGCTCTGTCTCTGTCTGTCTCCAGCCTGCAGCTAAGGTCCATCCAGACATGCTGTCGGAGCTGGTCCGTCCCAGCATCGACTACGTTCGCCACAAGAGGTTTCGTTCGGGGAACTTTCCGTCATCGCTGAGCAATGAGAGCGACAGGCTGGTTCACTGGTGCCACGGAGCTCCAGGCGTCATCCACATGCTCATCATGGCCCACAAGGTGAGACTGAAGCTCAGTCAAGTGACTTCATGTGTCAGAGATTAAAGCTGAAGCAGCCTCCTTCAGTCTGAGGCACACAAACAACACTGCCACCTGGTGGCATGGCTCTGCACTGCATGGACATATATATATATATATATAAATCTACACACACGTATATCTATATAGGTGTATGCATGGCAGAATGTAGCATGGTGCTGTTTTCGTGAGAACGACTGTCAAACCGTTTGATGTCGCGCATTGAACACTTTACCGTTTCACTCAGGACTCTTTGAGCAGTTTATGACAAATCTGAGGTGTGAATATTGTAATCCAGACTAAATGCCAGTTTCCTAGGCCTGGCTGCACACACACACACACACACACACTGCAGCAGTGCTCTGTAGGCTAATTTCTTCTGTTCCTGCTCCATTAGGAAGCCAGTTGGCAGCTAATGTGCTGCCGTTCTGGCAACACATCCTCTCACTAATGCAGAGGCCCTTTGGCACCACACAGAGAACAAAGCACAATGGGAGACACGATTGCTTATCACTGTCGCAGTATTAACAGAACACACAACTAATCTGTCATTTGTTGTTGCAGAAAGACTATTTGAACAACTCGTTTTTTGTCAGTGGAAGATTTTAGGTCAGCTGTGTTCCTTGTGGCTGATGTCATGTTTTCTACAGTAAAGTGGAGTTTGGATGCTGCTTTCAGAAAACACGAGTGTCTTCATGGCAGTATTGCTTCAAGTAAGAATCATGGTGATCTGCTGCTACAAATAGCAGCTGTCAAAGCCTGTGACTTCCTCCTTCACACAAGCAAAGCTGGGCGTGTCGGCTGTAACACAGAGAGGTGTCAGAGGTTGTAAGACTTGTCTGCATATTTACGTACATATGTGTGCTAATACGTCTTTGAAATTGTGATGCATTTCTGTGTGAAGTGAGAAGCAGGGATGCCGCAAGAACTACGGAACCAAATCAGTACCCAAGTTCTGAAAATGTGCGAGTCCTTGGTAGCAAAGGCGTCAGACTACTGCAGTTATCACAGGTAACCTAGTGGAGACTGATTTCTCCTGAACAGCATCGACCAGTGCAGGTAGAGCGACACACCTGCAACCAGTTGTAAGGAAAAAAAACAAAAACACTTCAGCAGTTCTGTATGAAGATGTTTAGTGTTTGAGTTGATGACCAAGGACCAGTTCTAGATGCCCAGAAGAATGCAAATGGTGTCACATTTGGAACAAACAAAGTGAACACCAGCAGCTCACAGACTGTACTGGCCAACCAGGTGTAGACGGCGTGTACAGGCCTCCCATCCCAGTACCCATCCATCCATCATCTCTACACCTTAATCCTCACCAGGGTCATGGGGGGCTGGAGTCTATCCCAGCTGACTCAGGGTGAAGGCAGGTTCACCTGGACAGGTAACCAGTCTATCACAGGGCTACACTTAGAGACAGACAACCAAGCACACTCACATTCACACCTACGGACAATTTACAATCACCAATTAACCTCAGCATGTTTCTGGACTGTGGGAGGAAGCCGGAGAACCCGGAGAGAACCCACGCTGCACGGGGAGAACATGGAGACTCCACGCAGGAAGATCCCGGGTGTCCTCACCGGGATGCCAACCGGCGACCTTCTAGCTGTGAGGCGCTAACGGTGCTAACCACTGAGACACCTGCCTGTCCCAGTATCTACAATACCTGATTATATTTATTGTTTCCAGAATCCACTTCACTACGATGAACAGCAACAGCAACCTACACACGGGAAGCTTTACATTTTCCAGTGTTGTGCAGAAGCTAGCAGCCTCATACTATAAAGTTGTTTTCAGACTCTCATTGTCAACACTTCCTGAACCAGTCGCGCTTTTAAAGCTCGCTGTTGCAGCTTGCTGTGAACCACAGAAACCACTCTGATGAAAACCTGCAGGGGTTCATTTTACTGGTCTTAGAGTGCCATCAATTATTCACCACTTACCAATTAACCAAAGTGTCTGTGGAGCTCGAAGCAAGATAACAGTCTTGATAATAGTTGTTGGCTATTTTAAGCTTGTTGTATTGCTAACCATTTCCTCTGTGTGATGAGATTAGAGCTGGTATGTCAGAGTTAAGCTGGTAGCCTCAGTGGTTGAACAGAGCCCTGCTGCATCCTGTCTGGAGGTAACACAGGATCCAACAGCACTGGGAACAGAGAGTTGATGGTTCCTCTGCAGACCGAGGACAAGGAGGATGCAGCATCATGACGTCTGTGTGAGAACACCCACATATGCAGGTGTCTGTTTCACAGTGTGCTCTGCTGTAAACAGTAGGTGTGTCACAGGAAACTACACCAGCTTCTGAGGACTGAAGACGTCTCTGCTGTCCATGACGAGGACAGTAGACCAGCTTCCATGAGCAGAGGTTTCTGTGTTCCAGACCAAAGGTGGAGGTGGTGCAGGAAGAGAAGGTGGAGCCTGGATCCAGCCTGTGGAGAGCCCAGCAGCTCTACTGGAGCATGCACACAGCAACACAGGACGCTGCTTCTCAGAGCCTGTTTCCTGCTGGAAGCCGCTGGGACATCACTCAGCTGCAGGAGGCTGCTCTATAATCACATCTAATCAAGCACACGGCCAGGTTCCCACAGCGTTCACACGGCGTCGCATCAGCTTCATACATGTCTGATGGCTCATCCATCAGCGCCGTTATGAAATACAGTAGCAGCACTTAGACCGGATCAGATTTATTAGCTACTAATGAGGCCTGGCCATGTGGGAACATTTAGTCCTTAATGTCGGCTCAACTCTTCTGTCCAGGGAGACAGAACACACCGACCAGCCTGCTGTCAGGAGGATGTGCTGTGTGCTATAGGCTCAGATGATACAGGGATTATACTGTGGTTCTGGCTCAGTACTTTGCATTGCGGCTCATGTTTTGGGCTGATATTCAGTGTCTGCCCCAAAAATATCAAGACACTGGCTGGTGTCAGAGTAGGAAGAACGAGTTCATTATCATCTGAGACATGTTGCAGTTACATCACATTGTTCAGAATGCTGACGTCTGTCATGACTTTGAAAGCAAACTGAAACTATCCTGCCTCATTGAAAGTGTCTCCTTTAAAGGTGTTTAAAGAGGAGAAGTACCTGAAGGAGGCAGCAGAGTGTGCTGAGGTGATCTGGCAGCGGGGCCTGCTCAGGAAAGGTTACGGCATCTGTCACGGCACTGCGGGCAACGGTTACGCCTTCCTGACCCTTTACAAGCTCACCCAGGAGAAGAAACACCTGTACCGCGCCTGCAAGGTAAAACCCAGGATCACCAAGAGAACAGAAACCTGCCTCCTGTGTGGCTCCTGAGCTGAAATGAATGCATGCTGATGCTGTAATCCCACTAGAAGTATCATGTGCTTTGAGTTTGGGCCCAGAAACTTGTCAACAAAGGGGAACTTAATGTCTTGCCCCTGGTCAGTATGGTCACATGGTCTGGTGGCCCGGTGTCACACCATGACTCATCCAGTACTCGTGTCTATATGCAGGAGCCCTCCCACAGATAGAATCAATACGTCTGCATTACACCGATTACAGGCTGCTGATGCTTCTGTCATTACACAGTGAACTGTTGCTGCGCTACAACATCCTTCATTCAGTCAGCAGTGGTCGTCTCCATGGAGCATCTGTGGTCATGGCAACCAGCAGCCTTAATGATCCGCTGCCTATCATAGCATCATATTTCATACAGGTCCTCCTCGCTGACATGTCAGAGTACCAGGTTAAACTGGAAACTGGACTGAAAATGGTGAAAGCAAGCCCACAGCTGTGAGGAGAAATGAAAGTGCTGCTAGTGGCCCTGATTCATGAGGTTTCTGTTCGTTTAACCGGGTAGCTGCTGTGTGAGTAACTTGTAATGTGACTTTATTGCCTCCCTCCAGTTTGCTGAGTGGTGTCTGGACTACGGGACCCACGGCTGTCGTATCCCAGACAGACCATACTCTCTTTTTGAAGGTAACAAATATTTATTTATTCAGCTTTCCTCTGAATCGGCTAGAAACTGCTTTGTTGTCTCCTTTGCTTTGCAGAACCACATCTCCTCAATCAGTGTAATAACAGGCCTCTGAGCTGTGTGAACATGAAGTGTGCTGCTACTCCTTCCATCACAGGCTAATTATACGGCAGCTTCAGTAACTCTGTCCGTGTGAAATTAGAGTGGCCTTTCACTGAGCTGTCATAAAAGAATTAAGGACACGACTGGCAGCACAACACAGCCTTTAAATAGACCGAGGCTGGGCACAGACCACATGAGAAGGCTCATAGAGATCCAAAACACCACTGATGTGTTGATTTTTTTAAGGAGATCAATGCATCCCTTTACTGAATCCTTCAGTGAGCTGCCGTACGCACAGATAGGAGGATTCATCACCATCAGCTGCTGTGTTCAGGCGTCATCGTCAGCAGCTACCTACATCCAGTCGTTCTGACCCTCATGTCAGCTCCACTTACTGCCTCAGCTTCCTTCACAACCCCAGAATCCTCTATTAGCAGGAGTTATTCTGTGCACGTTGGGACATAGATCTCATAGTGTGCCATGTTGAAATTGGATGTGAGTTTTCCTCAAGGGTCCTGTTGGACTGTCTGTATGCACCTCAGAGTGAACGCTGCAGCCCAGAGGTGTGCATGGTGATGGGCTCCAGCAACACCTGCACACATCTGTTACTGTCCTACAGATGACCACATGTATGTATCAGGACAGCTCAGTCAGTCATGGGCAGCCTGTCACGTCAGTGTTTGCTGCACACTGGCGAGGAGAAGATGATGTGATTGGCAGATGACATCATCAATACATACAGTTCCTTTACTTCCACTACAAACATTTACTGTTCTCATCATTGGAAACTCAAACTAGACAAACTGCTGTCTATATGTTGAGTCTAGTTAATAAAATCTAGATTTCCTCAGGTCTTCATGAAGCCGATCATTGTTGAGGTAACCTCTAGATATACAATTACAGCCGTGACTCGATAATCCGACACTAAATGTAAAACCTTCTTTTATGTCGGATAGCAAGGCTGTCGGATTGTCCAGACGGAGGTCCAGATACGAGGAGGGCTTGATGTTTGAACGGCCACGTCCACCCCGGGGCAGCGCTCTGACGGGGTGGAAGTGTCCAGAACACACAGGCAGTACTTGGCTGCTGATGCTAGTTTAGTTAGCGCTCACACTTCTGTTTCCTCCATCGGTGGCGGCGGGGGAGTGGCAGATACGCTCCACCGTTACCATCCATGTTTACTTCCATAAACACTGAGCACGCTCGCTGCGTGTGACGTCGTCGTGTCCTCTTCTGCGCATGCGGGACACTTTTGGCTCGTATGAAGTTCACACAGCAGATCACATACAAGTCGCATTGAAGTGGAAACGTGAAGGAAGTCACAAAGAAATCCTCATTGAGCATCAAGTCCTGCAGTGTGAACGTAGCCAATCTGTGGGATTGTTCAGTCAGATAATACGCCGTCATCCTGATTGGTGACATTAAATGTCATGTCGGAGTCACAATCCAAGGCTGTCGCTATGTTAAGGCTGTTTTTATGGGTTCTGTTGGTTTTTCCTACAAACCTGTCAGATAGCAGGTTTAGGATTGTTACGGGTCGATTATGGAGTCATGACTGTATAAACGAGGCTGAATGAGTGGCTGACTGTATGACAGACGTAACAGGTGAGCAGCAGTCAGTTCTATGCAGGTCTGTGTGCTCAAGACATTAAATGAGCCTCTGCTCCACCCATCATTAAACTCATATACAGCACCTTCAACAAGAAGCAGATGCCCGTTGCAGAACTAGAACAGCACTGATGCTGGCCCGGCTGCCTCGGTTCTGTTGGGGACAAACTCAGGGAACAATGTTTACTCGTGCCCTGTGAGCTCCAGACACCAATATGAAGCCAACAGGGAGGTGTGCAGTCAGCATGTAGAGACACATAGAGGCTCAATACTTCCTGTGTCCAGTCTGTCTTGTTCTGTACAGTTTGCTCAAAGGAATGGTTCTCCTGGTTTTATAATACTAATCGTATAATTAGTGTATGACGTTTTCACCAGAGTTTCTCTCCTATATGGTCTCAGTAACGGCTGTTTGTCCTCTCAGGCATGGCGGGGGCCATCCACTACCTGTCAGAGATGGCAACGCCTGAAGCCTCCTGTTTCCCTGCCTTTGAACTCTGACCTGCCACCGATGGGACTGAGGACGGTGGAGGGGACAGACGGTGTTTGGAAGTCGACTCGAGTCTGGACTGGAACATTGAAGCAGGATGTCTGTTGATGCACCTTTCAGCCTCGGCCATGAGTAGGAGGAGGATCACCTTGCTGTCAGTCTGAAAACACTGGAAAGGAAAGAGTAGTTTGTCCAGAGCCCCAGGTTGAATGAAGGTGGTTTGAGGAGGACAGTCTGGATGGATGTTCGTCGTGTTGAAGATGGACCTGTCAGACCTCCCCTCAGCTCTGAGGTGCCCCGTCTTCCTGCGCTGTGTTCAGGTGAAGACGTGGACCCCAGACTCCCTCCTCACCACGTCAATGTACCCCAGCTGGCATGGACACAGAACACACCCTCAGCCTTTAATATGGTAGCACTAGGCCAACAGAGTGTGAGAGTGTGTGTGAAGTGAACTAAAGCTGTTTTGGTATTCCTATGTCTCTGCATGCTCACTGTTATCGGCTCTTGGTGCCTCATTCGTGTCAGTATAGTGATTCCTTCTTCCTGTAATTAGATGTGTTGTTTCAGTTCTCTAGACATTCGTGACATAGTGACAAACCAACCACTGCTCTGGGGGCGGAGCCATGCGGGAGACTGCTATGGGGGTGGAGCCATGTGGGGGACTGCT